GTTCTCACTGTCAGGAAATTTCTCCTTAGTTCTAGGTTGCTTTCTCTCCTTGGTTAGTTTCCATCCGTTGCTTCTTGACTTGCCTTCTGGTGCTTTGGCAAGCCAAAGAATAAGGGATGTCTTGCTTAGGGCCACTTGACATGAGCTGGAGAATCCCTCAATGGCCCAATGAATGAGTTGCAGAATCTCAAGCCCCTTGGGGTCATCGAGCGGTCATCTGGCATTGTGCAGCCCAAATTCCTCCTGCCTGCTTCTTCAGACCATCACGTATTCCTCCCTCAGAGAGGAATAGCTTTGAATATGGATATATTCTATATGCAGAATATAGAATTCTGAATACAGAACTATTTTTTGCCCGCACAAGGGAGATGTTCTCTATCTATAGGCAGAAATGTCACCTTGCGCACTGAAGAAGATCCACCTGCTGGACAGGCCGACCTAGGCTTCTAAAGACAGGGTCATCCTCTTTCCTAAAGCCTAGTGAATGTGGGTCACAGCAGGATAGGCTTCATATGGGTAATTGGATGTTTTTATGAATGGCACGCTCCCATGCATTTTTCATTGAAGAAATCCTACTATTTTTATTCATTAGAAGCTAGAGGCACAAGGCAGATATTTCGTCTGATTAAGCCATATGGCTAATTCATCACAATCGGCAATGATTTCCAGCCTAAGAGATTATCTACTTTAATGGGAGACTTCCAAACGTGCCCTCGGAGATTGCCCTGGAGGCACCCCACCCATAACATTCCCCCCCCCCCGGAGCTGTGGGGATTGGGTGGGGTAGGGATGCTCCGACTGACATGGGTTCAAGGCTCAGGACTGGTTGGAATCAAGAGCCCTTGAATTGGGTTTATTTATCCTTTGCTAGGCTGTGTGCATCTTGCAGAAGCAGAGAGAGCCACACAAAAACGCAAAACAATGAGAAAAAAGAAACTTCTAATAATATTTGATTGAACTAGTTTCAATCAAATTAGGAATTATAAGGCATGTATTTAAGTTGGTTTTCTGGACTGATGCAAACCATTGAATTGTATTAAATTCAATTATCTAAATCAGGGCTTTTCAACCAGTGATACGGGTGCCACCTGTGGTACATTGGCACGTGGCAGGTGGTACGCAACCATCCTAGAAAAGTGGTAACGGGGGAGGGGAATGAGCTGAACTGGTGGCAGCATCGCACAAGCCTGAGTGAGAGATGGTTGGAGCTGCAGGGCATTCAGGGCTCAGTGGAAGCCCCAGAATCAGTGCCACTTTCCAGCTGATCAGCGCTTCTTCGGGGCTGTTAGGGCTCAGTGGAAGCGCCAGGATCAGCGCCAGGCTCCAGCTGGAACGTGGCGCTGATCCTGGAGCTTCTGCTGAGCCCTGAAGAAGTACCAATCAGCTAGAATGTTGCAGCATCTCTAGGGTCTTGTGATTTACATTCAGATGCTTGGCAACTGATTCATATTTATGATGGTCACAGTGTCCCAGGATCATATGAAGTGACCAAAAACTGCTGCAACCACCCAGCAGACGGGGGGAATAAAAACCAAACACCCCCCACCCCAATCCTCAACAAAAATGCTCACAACAATGAAAACCTCAGACAAGAGGAAGAGCACCACCGGGTGGACAGGCAAGTGTCTTGCTCGGCTGTGGCCTGGGGGGCAGTTTTTTCAGTGCCATTGTAACTTTGAACAGTCACTAAGCGAACTGTTGTAAGTCGAGGACTACCTGTACTTTATCACTTTTTTCCCTTTTTTTTTGGTCATCAAGTTTTTGACACCTTGCTAGGCAACTGGTACTCAGATATTGCCATATCCTAAAAGTGGTACAATGGGTGAAAAAGTTGAAAAGCCCTGATCTAAATAGAATGAAGAATTTGTTTCATTTATGATCTGTTCAATTGTCATGATATAATTGGCAACTCTTGTGGAAAATTATAATGTAACAAACACCAGCTATAAGACTGTAAGTAAGTTCATAGGGAGGCTGAGAAAGAGAAGGAGAGGGTATGCAGTACATAATCAACCAAGAGGACACCTATATCATAAATGATAATTAAGTTGGGTGGGATGAAGCTTGGGAATAATTGTTTCAAATCAATCAGCGGGACTCTGCCTTAATTAACTGAGGAGGCTAGATGCTTCAAGAAGCCACATGAATCAGTGTATTCACAAAGATGGACAGGATGGTCTTCTCCCAAAAACTCTCTTCAACAACTGAGGATTTATGGCATAGTGGTCCCTATGGCTTGGGACCACGTTATTTGAAAGATCTTCTCTTGATCACTTCTACCTGATCTACCAGACTGGGGAGGCAAGGAATGCTGGGGGTCCCCACTCCTAAGGAGGTACATTTAGTGCAGTGGTTCTCAACCTTTTTAATGCCGCGACCCCCAGCCGGTGGTAAGTCGAGGACTACTCAACTGGTGCAGCACCGTTTGCAGAATGGGACTTTTGGCGGGCTCAGCAGGGCAGAGACAGCCTGGACAATTCCTATTGGCTTTTGAAAGCCAATAGAATAAAAGGGAGTAGCACAGCTAAGGAAAAGGGGGAAAAAATGGCGGACTGCGTTGTTTGGCGACCCCCGTGAAATGGTCGTTCGACCCCAAATGGGGTCCCGACCCACAGGTTGAGAACCACTGATTTAGTGGGACCAAAAAAAAGCACCTTCTCCGTGGAGGCTCCATCCCTGTAGAACATCATCCCCGCAGAGATAGGATTGGTCCTCACTTTGACACTCTTTCACAAAGTCCTCACAACCTGGTTTTGCCTACAGGCCTGGGAAAGTCAGAGTGGGATGAAGTCCATGAAATGGCTTGTTTGACTGATTGTTATCACCGGTGGGGAAGATTATCATTTTTTATTGTTTTTATATGAGATTTTTTTTATATTTGTAATTTATGTAGAGTCAAAGAGAATGAGCTGGGTGGCCCTATAAATTTTCATAAACAAAAAAATCTTTTGGCTTGCCTGAACCACACTGAATGAAGAAAAACAACTATAATGAACAACTATAATAATATAGTAAATAACAAACTTCCTTTATTTTTAAATATTTTTTATTAGCTTGTGGGGCCACATTACTAGTTGTCCAGGGCTGCATGTGGCCCATGGGCTGTGGGTTGGACATACCTGATTTAAGGCAAGATGCTTTTGATTTGGAAGACTACTTCTTTCATGAACTAATGTCTAACTCCGTATTTGTTGGCCTGAGTTCATTGTATTTTGTATAGCCAGCCTCTGCTTGAATCTCAGATTTATAAGTAAAAATGACTGCAACCCATATATATATGGTGTACCTCTTTTGTTGTTAGTTGTGAAGTTGTGTCCGACCCATCGCGACCCCATGGACAATGTTCCTCCAGGCCTTCCTGTCCTCTACCATCTTCTGGAGTCCATTTAAGCTCATGCCTACTGCTTCAGTGACTCCATCCAGCCACCTCATTCTCTGTCGTCCCCTTCTTCTCTTGCCCTCAATCTTTCCCAGCATTAGGCTCTTCTCCAGTGAGTCCTTCCTTCTCATTAGGTGGCCAAAGTATTTGAATTTCAATGGTGTACCTCTAGCAGTCTACAAATCTTATTGCCATCCTCGAACTTGATAAATAGTAGAAGTGGAAAAGGAAGTTTCATGGATGTTTGATGGTCTGTTTTTAATTTATACAAAACAGACTTGCAATATAAATCTTTCCCATGAGGAAGGTACTATACTTCCAATGTTTAATTTCTTAAGCTACTTTGTTTGTTTGTTTTTAACATCCTACCAGGAAGCATGGAACTGAAATGTATCAGATCGCTGTTTCTCAAACTTGGCAACTTTAAGATATGTGGACTTCAACTCCCAAAATTCCTCAACCAACACAGGAGTTGAAGTCCATACATCTAATACTGGCCAAGATTGAAAAAACACTGTGCTAAATGATCATTTTCAACAATACAGGTTATGTAGCACACACTGGGACTCAAGCAGTGGTGGGATTCAAATATGTGAACAACTGGTTCTCTGTGTGGATGCCGCTTCTGGAAGTCCATTCTGGGCCTGGGTAACAAAAAATTAGCTACTGGTTCTGCCAAAGTGGTGCGAACCGACTGAATCCCACCACTGGACTCAAGAGATCTGTTCCACTTTTCAGCTTATTTACTTGGACCTGGACTGTAAAATATTGGATATTCGCTAGGGCAGCAGAAAATTAGGGTTTTTACACATCAAATTTTCTCCTGTTGGATCATTCATCTAAAACAGTGGTTCTCAACCTGTGGGTCGGGACCCCATTTGGGGTCGAACGACCATTTCACGGGGGTCGCCAAACAACGCAGTCCGCCATTTTTTCCCCCTTTTCCTTAGCTGTGCTATTCCCTTTTATTCTATTGGCTTTTGAAAGCCAATAGAATAGACTCTCTTGAATAGAGTCTAATTCTATTGGCTTTCAAAAGCCAATAGGAATTGTCCAGGCTGTCTCTGCCCTGCTGAGCCCGCCAAAAGTCCCATTCTGCAAACGGTGCTGCACCAGTTGAGTAGTCCTCGACTTACGACCGGTTGAGTAGACCTCAACTTATGACCGGTTGGGGGTCGTGGCATTAAAAAGGTTGAGAACCACTGATCTAAAAAGCTAATCCAGAGATGTTCACTATGTTTGACAACAGTTTTCCAAGGTATTTAATAGCATGGACATCTTTTAATTATGAACGTGAATTTGGAAAAACTCTGGAGACAATGGAGGACAGGAGGGCCTGGTGTGCTATGGTCCTTGAGGTTGCAAAGAGTTGGACACGACTTAGCGATTGAACAATAACAAATTTCTGTATGCAAGACACATGATCTGCTTGTTGAGCCATACAATAGGATGAACATATTCATCAGAAGGTGACATTTAATTTCTATTTACTGATACTTTATTATAAATGGACTACTTCCTTATTAGCTTATGTGTAACCATGATCTTAAAAGGATAAACTATAGGTCAACTGAAATCTGATCTCAAATGGAATGTGTTCATAATGAAACTCAGTTTTGGAAAAATGACAGGGAAAAGTACTATGTGATTATCATTCACCATTAGAAATGTCTTTATTGCGAAATGCAATCTTATGGATGTCTACTTAGAAGCAGGTCATAGTAAGTTCAGTAAACATTGCTTCCTAGTAAATATGTAAAGCATACAGATAAAATTTCATATGATACATGCTCATAATATAATATCTTTATAAAATAATCCTTAGTTAATTTTTCTCTTCCTCAATTAATTTCTCTGTCTTAACCACTGCGGAACTCTGTAAGTGAAGAGCAAATTACAAGATCCAGGTTTAGCAAAGTAGTGCATTAAGTTAAATAGATTCATTTCCAGTGATGGCCAGGGAAAAGAAATAAATAAATTGACCAAATTTGGGAACAGTCAACCCTTTAGAATAAACAAGAATTTTTTAAAATCCAGGAATGTCTGTAAAAGCATGGCTCGTTGGCTTCCTAAATATTGAGCAAACAGGTTTGTGCAGCTGTGTACAATTAGATGTAGCTAAAGGACTATTTATATAATAGCAATTCATATGCATTTACAAGGAACAAAATATTACTCAGGAGAGGCATTCAAATAACTGAAAATGTTTTCCACCACAGTTTGAGCTGGATAGCAATAGAATAGGACTTAGATTTATATACTGCTCCATAGTGGTTTATAACCCTCTCTGAGTAGTTTACAATGCCAACATATTGCCCCCAACAATCTGAGTCCTCATTTTACTAAGCTTGGAAAGATGGAAGGCTGAGTCAACCTTGAGCTGGTTAGGATCGAACTCCTGCTTGTGGGCAGAGTTAGCATGCAATACCACATTCTAACCAAAGCACCACCGCAAATGATGATGTTGATGGGATTGCACTGTTGACATAAACGGTGACTCCCATCTCTTCTCTGAATAACATTAGTTGAGTTCCTCAGCCATGCTTTCTTTCGATTATCAATTGTACAGGTTCATGCAACAATCCACAATAAACTCGGAGCAGTGGAGGAACTCTGCCACTATCAAGGAAAGTTAATATGCTGGATTGTAGCGCTCATTCCAGGCAAAAATATGGGACTTCAATCTCCATGGATTAAAACTGGGTTTCTGGTTTGAGGAAGAGGAGAATGCACAATGTGAGTTAAAGGGTCTACGAAGAGGACACCAACGGGGGAGTATCACACTGGGTGCGGCTGATGAATTACCGTATATTCCGGCATATAAGGCGACCCGGCGTATAAGACGACCCCCGCTTCGACGCCGAGTCGCATGCCTAGAAAGTCGTCTTATATGCCGGAAACTACCGTTATTTCCGGCGTATAAGACGACTCAGCATATAAGACGACCCCCATCTTCGGCGCCAATTTTAAAGCTTGTGAAAGTCGTCTTATACACCAGAAAGTACGGTAAGAGAAAAATTCCACTCTTCTTCTGGGATGAACTTCTAGGGTGGTGGAATAGATTTCTTTTACTCACCATTTTCTTTATTTTCATGCCTCCCTTAGGCTGGCCTGATGGCACTTCCAGTGGCCCATTTCTCCATTAAGATTGCACAATTGGTTTTAGCACTGAGACAGACCCCCTTCTCATATTTATGGGATGCTGCAAGAAAAAGAAAGAAAGAAATCTCCCGAACTTCTCTGTCTTTTAAAATTGGTTGCATCAGGAGGTGACCTACCAAATTACAGGACCTGCTTTGGAATCAGGGAGGCATTAAGCCAAGAAAATAGGGAATAGATTATCCAAAACAAAATCTTCAGTCTTCAATCCAAAACAAAATCTTATCCTTAAATGAGACAGGAAGAAAATCGACTCTCTGGACAGGAAAGGGGACCAACAAGCAAGTACTGGAGGGCATCAAACCAGACAAAAACACGATGGCTGGACACCATCAAATGACACCAGCCAGAGCATAGTGCAAGAAGTAGTGCAAGATCAGAAGATGTGCAGAGACCTGGCCCAGAGAATCACCAAGAGTCAGATGTGACTGAATGACTAACATCATCATCATCATCATCAACAACAACAACAACATCCAAAACAAGTTGCTAAAGTCACAAATGTTTAATTGTGTTTTCTTTTGTAACAGGGTTGGGTTGGTAGACCTTTGGGTTCTAGTAGAAAGCCAAATTAAATCGTCCAAGTCTTCCAATTCCTGATCTAATCTCACATTTTGTTTCCAATAAAAGTTAACCAGATACTGTTTGCCTGAGAAACAACAGACCATCTAAGCAATTATTGGCGTCTGGTACTAACTGTGCAATAAACTTCCAACGAAGCTGGCAATGACACTTAGAAATTAAAGCTAATATCCAGCATTAGTTGCAAGTTTCGCTAGAGGAAGATGGTGCATTTCTTTCCTACAAATTCTGAACTCAGCTGGATCTTATCCAAATCAATAAAAGTATCATCTAAAGCAGGAGTCCCCAACCCCCAGTCCGTGGACCGGTACCGGGCTGCAGCATGCCAGCAACCAGTCCACACAAACAAGCGAAGCCCCATCCGCGGGATGCAGGCAGCACACAATCCCACGGCCCCTTCGGTCTTGGAAAAACCTCTCTCCATGTAACCGGTGCCCCAAAGGTTGGGGACCTCTGATGTAAAGCAGTCCAAACTAAGCTGGATTTTAATTGCAGCTTGAGGTCCACTCCAGAGATACAGATCCCTAAATCACAATGCAAAACATTAACAAGGAGGCAGGAGAGCTTGGCATGCTATGGTCCGTGGGGTTGTGAAGAATCAGACCCAAAACAGATCAAAAACAACAACCCTCTACTTCTGCAGGACCTTGATTTCCCTGTTTTTTCTCCAAGATTCTCGTTCCCAGAAAGGCAAGGATTGAGAATATTTAACTCTAAGCAGAGGGTACATCCTCTCCAAGACCGATCCGTGAAACTGCATCTCGCTGCATGTTATAAAATAGATAGTCCTTGACTTGCCATCCTAGGTGAACCCCAAATTTCCCATCGCTAAAATGAGACAGTTGTTAAGTGAGTTTGCCTTATTTTATAACCTTTCTTGCCACTGTGGTTAAGTGAATCACTGCAGCAGTTAAGTTAGTAACATGGTTGCTAAGTGATTCTGACTTCTCCATTGACTTTGCTTGTCAGAAGGTCGCAAAAGGGGATCACATGATCCCGGGACGCAGCGACTGTCATAAATAGCATGCCAGTTGCTGAATTTTGATGACATGACCATGGCGGTGCTGCAACGGTTACATGTATGAAAAACATTCATATGTCACTTTTTTTCAGTGCATAGTAACTTCAGAGAGTCACTCAACAAGGGATTGTAAGTCAAGAACTACCTGTAATGCACAACTAACTCAGATTTCTTTCTTAAAGCAGTAAATCCACACTACCGATGCAAAGGAGCATCACAGGTTCCAGAATTCTTCTTGTACCTCTTTCAACGCTTCTCCCCAAAACAGTGAAAATGTGTTTATTGTCACTAATAATGGTAGCAAAAAGATAAAGGTTTCCCCCCTGTCAGTCATGTCTAATTCTAGGGCAGAGGTCCCCAACCTTTTGGGCACCAGGGACCGGTTCCGTGGAGAGAGGTTTTTCTGCGGACCGGAGGGGGTGTGGTTTTGTGTGCTGCCTGCATCTCGTGGATCCGGCTTTGCTTGTTTGTGTGGACCGGTTGCTGGCATGCTGCGGCCCAGTACTGGTCCACGGACTGGAGGTTGGGAACCCCTAAACTAGAGTGTGGTGCTCATCTCTGTTTCTTGCTCGAGGGAGCCAACGTTGTCCGAAGACAGTTTCCATACAGACTATACAGCAAAGACCCACAGAATGCTTTTACCTTCTCACCAAAGTGGTACCTATTTACCTACTCACATTTGCATGCTTTCAAACTGCTAGCTGGAGCAAGGAACGGGAACTCGCCCTGTGAAGTGGCTCCTGGGTCTGAAACCTGGGCTGTCAGCTGACAAGCCCCGTGTCTTTAACCACTGAGCCATCACACCCCCTAACAATGGTAGTAGCAAGGGTATATTTATTGTGGCTAATAATGGTTTGAAATATGGCTGATAGCTGTTGAACTGGAAGAGGAAAGACAGAGATATTAGCATTAGTAACTCGAAGGAGGCTGTTTATTTTTTCTGCCTCTTTGCCAGCTGAAGTGTTTGAGCGCAAGAGGAGACTGAACATATCTGAGAGTGCTGTAAGTAAACAAATCTCTTCCTTTAATCTGTAGAACTAAGAGCTACAATGCTTGCAGATGGTGTTAATATGGAAAATCAGTTTCCATTGTGTGTTTTCCCTAAGCTGGCTCCTCGCCTTTCTCCCGGCATTTCAGCAACATATGTCACACTTCTTGCCATTCCTGCAATAGCAACTTGTCACTGAAAATTAAAATCCATATCTGTCCAGTGATTAATATACTTAGCAGCATTGGTGAAGTGTTTGGTGAGGCTTCTCCTGTTTTTCGGAAAGTAATTTTTATTTGCTTGTTGGTTCCAAGGAGAATCTGGCACAGAATAGCAGGAGCAAGATTTGGTCCCAAATTCAAGGCGTTGAGCCTGTGCATGGATCCCACAAGCCTACACTCTGTTGTACGTTGGGATTTTTCTAACGTGGAACCCTGCTTTTGCCACAATTGACTGTCACTTTGTAAGAAGAGCAACAAAGATGATTACGGGGCTGGAGGCTAAAACATATGAAGAACAGTTGCAGAAACTGGGTATGTCTAGTTTAAAGAAAATAAGGACTAGGGGTGACAGGATAGCAGTGTCCAACATTTGAGGGGCTGCCACAAAGAAGAGGGAGTCAAGCTATTCTCCAAAGCATCTGAAGGAAGGACAAGAAGCAATGGATGGAAACTAATCAAGGAGAGAAGCAACCTGGAACTAGGGAGAAATTTCCTGACAGTGGCTGCAATTAATCAGTGGAATGACTTGTCTCCAGAAGTTGTGGGTGCTCCATCACTGGAGGCTTTTACAAAGAGATTGGACAAACATTTATCTGAAATGGTATACGGTTTCCTGCCTCAGCAGAGGGTTGGACTAGAAGATTCTGTTAAACATCAAGAATCAAGTAGAGACTAAGTAGAAACAGGATAGCTATATTCAAGTAGATCTTTCTTTGCAGAGATGAGTTCTCTCTTTTGTTCCAGAAAGATATAGTCTTTAGTTTACAACCACTCATTCAGTGACCATTCAAAGTTCTGATGGTGCTGAATAAGTGGTACTTACAACCAGTCCTGCATGTTTTGGCTGTAGCAGCATCCTGTGGTCACTTGATCATGATTCTGATGCTTGGCAATTATGACAGTTGCACACCCCAGAATCTTGTGATCACCATTTGTGATCTTTCCTGCTGGCTTCCCACAAGCAAAATCAATGGGGAAGCCAACAGGGAAAGTTGCAAGTGATCAGTCTCCTGTGGTCTTCTTGTGTTTGTACCATACCACACCACAACATCTGAGGCTCTAGAAAGAGGACAGAGAAGAGCAACAAAGATGATTACGGGACTGAAGGCTAAAACATACAAGGAATGGTTGCTGGAATTGGGTATGTCCAGTTTAATGAAGAGAAGGACGAGGGGTGACATGATAGCAGTCTTCCAGTATTTAAGGGGCTGCCACAAAGAAGAGGGAGTCAAGCTATTCTCCAAAGCACCTGAAGGCAGGACAAGAAGCAACAGATGGAAACTAACCAAAGAGAGAAGCAATCTAGAACTAAGAAGAAATTTCCTGACAGTAAGAATAACTGATCAGTGGAACAACCTGCCTCCAGAAGCTGTGAATACTCCAACACTGGACGTTTTTAAGAAGAGACTGGATAGCCATTTGTCTGAAATGGTATAGGGTTTCTTGCCTGAGCAGGGGGTTGGACTAGATGACCTCCAAGATCCCTTCCAACTTTATTACTATTATATAGATCATCGCACAGTCAGCCAGATGTTCAGACTGGATTTGGCATTTTGTCTACCTATCGAGTCCTTACCCAGGACCTGGGATAGGCAGATGTGGATGTTTGATGGTATTACAGATATCGTCGCAGGATGGAAGCAGTTCCTAGTAGGGCCGCCCTCTGCAATTGACTAATAGTGAATTTGTCAATGCCAATGGTGTTCAAGTGGTGCTCCAGTTGTTTTGGGATTGCACCAAGGAGCCTATTACTATTGATACTACCTTTGCTTGCTTTTGCAACAGTCTTTCTATTTCTATTATTATCATCATCATCATCATCATCATCATCTACCCTTCAGCTTTTCTGTGTTTGCATTCAGCCTGTACTGGGACTCTGAAGCCCTCTCCTGACTTCCTCTAACTCATACACAGCTTACCCTAGCCCTTCCAGGGCCTCTTCTGGCCACTCCCCACAGCACCCCAGCACCCCAGACTCTATTCTTTGGCCTCCCACTTTCCTCACTTAGCTACCCAGGCATCTATGAATACTGTTTGCAAAATCCCATAGAGACAGGTATATTCCAACAGATGACCAAACATGAATATCTGAAGGCAACATTAGACAATGAATTGCCTTGTTCCTTAGGAAATATCTTTCTTTGTAAGAACACAGAATCTAAATATAATAGAGTTGGAAGGGATCTTGAAGGTCTTCTATCTAGTCTAATCCTCTACTTTAGCAGGAGATCTTACACCATTTCAGACAAATGGTTGTCCTGTCTCTTTTTGAAAGCCTCCCGTGCTGAAGGACCCACAACTTCTGAAGGCAAGTTCCATTGGTTGATTGCTCTCACTGTTAGGACATTTCTCCTTAGTTCTAGGTCGCTTCTCTCCTTGGTTTGTTTCCATTCATTGTTTCTTGTCTTGCCTTTTGGTGCTTTGGAAAATAGTTTGACTCCCTCATCCTTGTAGGACCCCCTCAAATATTGGAACCCTGCTATCATGTCACCCCTAGTCCTTATTTTCATTAAACTAGTCATGCTCAATTCTTGCAACCGTTCTTTGTATGTTTTACTTTCCAGTCCCATAATCATTTTTGTTGCTCTTCTCTGCACTCTTTCCCGAGTCTCAACCTCTTTTTTATATTGTAGTGACCAGAGGGGTAGAGGTACAAGTAGCTCCATTGGTATCCAATGTTCCCTTCGCTGAAGAGAACATTTTTGGCCAGTTTGAATGGTCCGCTAGATCGGAGCTATCCAATAGTCATGTGGATTTTTGCAAGCCAGTTTGATTTCCATAAAACTGTTTTGGAGAAAGGCCTTGCTGTTCCTCACTTGCTCCATTAATCTTTGCAGAAATCACTCCAGTGATTTCCAAAAGGCCCATGAAACGGTCACCTATGTTGGCCTGTTTATGTACACTTTGGCTGAAGCCTCTGCTGAGAGTTCCAACAGATTAGTTCTCTATAAGCTTCTTTTTCAACAGCCGGATTTGTACATCAATAACCAAGCTGTTCAAATAGGAGGGTTTCAAAGGAGGGGAGGGAAAGGGGAAGCGTGTTCACCTGAAAAACAGAGAGGGGGAGAGATTAAGCAAATGTGTCTGTGATGCTCTGGATCTCTTCAGAACTGGCGCATAGAAGAACTGATTTCCCCCCCCCCATCTCACTATGTATCTGGTGAAAAAATGGGAAGCCATTGAAGAAGGTCATTGAAAGGACACTGCTGTAAAGTGGCTGCAATCCAGGCATCCCATTCAACCTGTAGGGAATTTTCTTTCAATCTTGCTTGGTTCAAAACATCTTTAAAATAAATAAATAAATAAATGTTCCAGTTTCTCTAGGTGCAGCAAGAATTATCAAGTAAATGCTTTCTGGAGCTGGGAGGCTGCAATATTAAGGGAAGTGAAATTGACCACAAAGGTATTGCAGGAAAAGATAAAGTCTATGGCCAAAACTCCAGGACCTAATTTAGACACAGGGAACGGGGACAGGCAGGCAGACAGATAGGTAGGTAGGTAGGCAGACAGGCAGGCGCACAGACAGACAGGCAAGTAGGCACATAGATAGGCAGGCAGGCAGGCAAACAGGTAAGCAAGTAGTCAGGCACTCAGATAGGCAGGTAGATTGGCAGGTAGATAGATAGGCAGGCAGGCTGACAGACAGGCAGATAGGTAGGTAGGAACACAGGTTTATAGGTAGACAGGTAAGCAAGCAGGCAGGCACATAGTCAATAGGTGGGTAGGTAGGTATATAGGTAGGTAGGCAGGGAGTAGACCAACAGACAAGCAGGTGGACAGATAGACAGACAGGTAGGCAGGCTTGCAGAAAGACAGGCAGATTATCAAGTCATTTTTTTACTCTTAGCAACCACCTGGATAGATAGATTTTTTCCCCTCCCCAATCTATATAGAGTTCCATTCAATTGGCACAGATTGATTTTGATCCATGGATTTAAATTTAGAAAAAAATCTCTAGAAATCAAATGGAAAAAAAAACCTTTTACGATAGTGTTGAAAAATAACATGCGATTGCCAAGCCTCCAAATTCTGATCACGTGAACGTGGTGACACCGTAACTGTTCTGGATCACTCGTAAGTCACTTTTTTCAGTGCCGTTGTAACTTCAAATGGTCACTAAATGAATGGTTGTAAGTTGAGGACTACCTGTAAAGGCTTCTGTAGCTCTCATGATCTAGAGACTGCAGGACTTATTAATTGATTACAAAAGGTAACGTGAAGAACTTTCAGGCAAATGTATCTTAGAAGGTTGTTTTGAAAATGATAGAAACTAGGATCAGATGTATCACACTAAGCTGTTTGGAGGAAAATCACCTAAATAAGCCAGTAAGATCAAATCATTTAGGTTCACATTGGCTCTTTTAACAACAGGCTGGTTTGGGAACATAGGTCTGGACAGTTTGTAGTTCAGCCACTAATGAGAAATTTAACAACGTCAAAACTGTTAAACAATTAGACTATCATGTTAATCCATAACATAGTTAATAGTTAATTCCCCTGGTCCCAGCAGCTTATATGAATGCAACAACTATACTTTGTTAACTGAGGTTTGTGGTTTTGCAAATTGCATGAACACAGCTGTTGAGTAGGAGTTGGGAAGTGTACTTACCACCGAAGAGGTCCTCAATAGGATTGCAATGTCCAAATTAAACCGATCCAAATGAAGCATTTTAAAATCCCACTTATTTCAGTGGGAAAAATTAATCTTTAACCTTACTGAAACCACCAGGACTTAAAAGTACTCCCTTCTTTGTGCCTTGAGCATGTTAGTTTCCAAACCTGCTAAGACCAAAATATTTTCTCCGTTAAAAAACAGTATTTATACAGCTTGTGGAAATTATCCAATGTGAAATTAAAGCCATTACGTGCTTGACTCTCTTCCTGCCAGGTCTGTTCACGATTTCACCGGTCTTCCCTGCCAAATAAAGCAAAACATTTATCTTATTAAGATCTTACAGGAGTGCAGTAGGAAGAACAGGAGAACATACCTTTTCATGTTGTCATTTGGCTTGCCTGTGTAGAGTTCATGGACCTGGCTCGTGTGTGCCAGGATGCACTGACTTCTTGGATCACAACAGGAATGACTTGGAAAAGACCTTACGGGTCTCTTCGTGCAGAAATCCATGAATCTACAGAATCCTAAAATTATAGAATAACAGAGTTGGAAGAGAGAGAGAATTCATCTCTGCAAAGAAAGATCTGCAAGTACTTGAATATGGCTATCCTGTTTCTACTTAGTCTCTACTTGATTCTTGATGTTTAATAGAATAACAGAGTTGGAAGGGACCTTGGAGATCTTCTAGTCCAACCCCTGCTCAAGCAGGAGACCCTATACCAGGGGTTCTCAACCTTGGCAACTTTAAGACTTGTGGACTTCAGCTTTGCTGGCTGAGGAATTCTGGGAGTTGAAGTCCACAAGTCTTAAAGTTGCCAAGGTTGAGAACCTCTGCCCTATACCATTTCAGACAAATGGTTGTCCAATTTCTTCTTAAAAACCTCCAGTATTGGAGCACCCACAACTTCTGGAGGCAAGTGGTTCCACTGATTAATTGTTCTTATTGCTGGGAAATTTCTCCTTAGTTCTAGGTTGCTTCTCTCCTCGATTAGTTTCCATCCATTGCTTCTTGTCCTGCCTTTTGGTGGTGTGGAAAATAAATTGACCCCCTCTTCTTTTTGGCAACCCCTCAAATATTGAAACACTGCTATCATGTCATCCCTAGTTCCTGCAACCGTTTTTCATGTGTTTTAGCCTCCAGACGCCTGATCAGCACTTTTTCCAGAGTCTCAACATCTTTTTTAAATTGTAGCGACCGAAACTGGATGCAATATTCCATGTGTGCTCTTACCGAGGCATTATAAAATGATATTAACCCTTTACATGATTTTAATACTATCCCTCTATTAATGCAGCCTAGGACTGTGTTGGCTTTTTTAGCAGCTACAGCACGCTGCTGGCTCATATTTAAGTGATTGTCCACTAGGATTCCAAGATCCCTCTTGCAGTTGAAGTAATGTAAACAACCCCTGCATACAGTTTAAGTCCATCACAATAATCTTCTGCCATCCAGACCTGCACCACATTTTATGGTGAGCCATTCGTGGTATTTTTTCCACCAGATTTTCCATTCTGGGAAAGGAAATGAGAAGGCAATTCCTTTTGCGATAATGGAGAATAGGAATAACTCAGGGTTGTGCAGTTGGTTTTTTTGTGTATGCATGTGTATGTGTGCTTTGTGCTACAACCATTGCGTTAACATAAATCATCAGTATATGGGGAAGCAGAGTCTGTTGGCTCTTTATATGACAAGCGACTACATATTAACAGTCAGCAAACTTTATTCCTCCATCTACTGAGGAGGTTAGCTAGCCTGGCAATGAAATCTCTACAGGAGGGGTGTCCAAGCCTGGGAAATTTAAGACTTGTGGACTTCAACTCCCAGAATTCCCAGGCAGCATGATGAATTGAAGTCTACAGGTCTTAAAGTTGCCAAGATTAGACACCCCTTATCTACATGAAAAGAAGCAAACTCAGAGAATACCAACAATGCAATCATCTGCGCTTCATTGCCCTTAAATTGTCTTATAGGAAGGACCATTTTCAAGCCTCATTACTTAGCCAAGATAAAGTTTGGCCATGCAGACAATGCAAACTATGCTGGTGTGTATATATATATATATATATATATATATATATATATATATATATATATATATATTCGCGTTTAAGAAATTTAAAAACATGAACCCTGGGAATATTCATAGTAAGAAATAAAATGATCACCAGGGTAATAAAAACCATAAAATTTAATAAAAAGCGCCTAGCTTTCGCCGTCACCTGCCGGCATCCTCAGGGCTAGTGCGCCAGAGAGTGAGAGAGTCACTTTTATAGGTGCAACAAAGTCTGCGCACGACTCCTCGATCTCGTCATCGGGCCTAATTGGGATGACTGCGCACGGCTGGTCTGTTCCTTTCTATTCCTTTTAATTGCATGTTCATCCTCCTCCATCCTTCTTTCTCTCAGTCCTAGGGTGGATGAGCAGATGCCTCTGCAATTACAATGGTCTCTATGTTTTAATCCTTCTCCCCCGGGATCAGGTGGCAATACACATTCCATGTTTGTTTTGCGATCCTCCTTCGTCCCATTGTCCTTCTTATGACAAGTTTTTCCTTTAGTTTTGGTGTTTTCACTGTTTATATGAATGTCATCTGAGTGGACCCGTAGGTCCTTTCGAGGTGGCTGTGATCTACTGCTGGTCTGGGACTGGAGGAAGAGCCGTTCAATCACGGAGGAGGGGGGGGGGAAGAACGACAACTCCCCAACCACCCCTGCATCCGTTCGTCTCGCGCGCACCGCACCATAGTCAGACAGGCCGGGGGGAGCAGCGGCGGAATCATGTCCTCGCTCTTCCCCCTGGGGCAAGCGCCGTTCAGACAGTCCCACAGACCCCTCCCAGGTGAGCGTAGCTCGTCGATGGTCCGGAACCAGAGGATAGACCGCTCGATCATGAATGGAAGGGGGCGGCGGTTTCCCGTTCGTTACTGCACTCAGCTATCTCGCGCGTCCCCTGCTGCGGGTGATCGGTCCGGGGAGCGGGGTAATGATGGGATCACGTTCTATACGATCCTCACAGCGTCTCTCCTCGGTCTGTCTCCTCTCTCTTGTGTCGTCGGTAGCCATGCAAGTTCTCCGGAATGTTCCGGGGTGCGCAAGTGGGGGGCATGAAAGTTCGATTTCCTGCGTTTTTTCTCCTTCTCCAATGTTATTCAAGGGTCCACCTCCGATCGTACTCTGCAATTCTCTCCCCCCCAGACCGATCATCCCAGTCTGGCGGGGGGATCTCTCCTTTCCTTCCGAGTCGGCTAACCCATTTTCTTCCATATGCAGGTGAATTGCCGTATCCAAAAGTCTCTCCCCTCTTCCTCCAACCGCCGTATCTTCTTTTATACTGGTCGCAACGTCTCGGGTGTCTATGGTGTCTGGATTTTGGATTTTGATTCCCACAGCCTCTTTAGTCCTTCGGGGTTGTGGTAATGTTATTGACATAATAGGAGTGTTCTCCGATTGTGTTTCCTCATTCGGGCTGTCTCGGGTCTCGGGTCAACTGGGGAGTTGGTTCCTCCTCCTTAATGTCATTGGGGTTGTTATTGGGACGTCGGGGGTGCTGTCGTTGGTTATTTGTGTTCCACAACCTTAAAGCCATATATGCCGGGCATAGGTCCACATGCCGATTGATGGAGTTGTCATCCGAGAGCCATGCCTCCTTAAGCAGGCGGCCCCCCTTGGTGTTGTCACTAGCCAATACGCTAACCTCACTGAAATCAAATTTATGGTCTAATTCCGCCATGTGTGCCCATATCTGGGAGTGTTGGTCTCCCCTTTTCACTGCTAACCTATGCTCGTGGACCCTGGTTTTAATCCGTTTAGCTGTCTCCCCAACATAATTGGATCGGCAGTCCATACAATTGATCCTATAGATGGCTGCCGATCTTTCAGTGTTGGGGAGTGGGTCCTTAGGGCGCATTATAGCTGCCCGCAGTGTTTGGTTTGGTCTATGGGCCACTTGTATCTTGTGCGGTGCCAAAATCCTTGCTGTGGCCTCTGAGACATTATGAATGTAGGGGAGAGTAACACGTGTGGTTGCCTGAGGTGTAAGTCCTTGGGGTGTGGGGTCACTCCGGGGTCCAGATGGTTTATTGAACCGATTAATGAACTTAGCCGGGTACCCATTACGTTTACACACCTGGAAGAGGTAATTTCTCTCCTCTCTCTTAGCTCTGGCAGTGCTGCAGTGTGACTCCACTCGCTTAAATAGGGTCCTGACACAGCTGACTTTATGGGCCATGGGGTGATTGCTCTCGAAATGCAAAATCCTGTCTGTACATGTAGGTTTTCGGTATACCTTGGTGGTTAGACATCCGTCCACCTGGCGCTGTACTAACACATCTAAAAACGCTAAACTGCCCTGATGTTCCTCTTCCATGATGAAACGGATGTCTGGGTATACCGAATTCAGGGTGCCCATGAAGTCAGTCTTGTGTCGCTCCTATGTGGACGATACAAACGTATCGTCCACATAGCGGGCCCAAAATTTTGGTTGATATTGGGCCAACGCTATGTGTTCCAAACGCTGGAGCACCACCTCCGCAATCACGCTGGAGATCGGCGACCCCATAGGAGTTCCCTTAATTTGTTCGTATATCGTGCCCTGAAAGGTGAAATAAGTGTTAAGACAGACTCCCATTAATTTTATAAGATCTTCCGTCCGAAGGGAGTCTTGATGTAATCCTTGGTCTCCCTGATTCAGTCGTTCCCTCAAAACCGCAATAGCAAGTTCCTGCGGGATGGAAGTGAATAGGGAGACTACATCAAAGGAGACCATGACTTCATCCTCTTCTACCTTTAGGGCCCTAATCTTACCAAGGAATTCCTCTGCCGACCTCACAGTAGTGTTGCTGTTGTCTGTCAAGTGGCTGATGCGTGTGCTCAGCCACTTAGCTAGTTCATAAGTGGGTGTGCCTCTGAACGCGACAATGGGGCGTAGGGGGACGTCAGGTTTATGCACCTTTGGTAAGCCATAGAATCTGGCAAGCGCTGAATCGCCAGGGCGTATCTTCCTCAATACATCCTCCCCCATTCTCCCATTGCGTTTCAGGGCATCAACGAGCTTATTGGTATAATTCCTTAGCGTAGTGGAGGGATCTCTATTAACTACTCTATAGGCAGCACTGTCTTGGAGTAGTTCTAAAGCTTTGCTTACATACACCTCTTTGTCCAAAACCACCGTTGCTCTCCCCTTATCAGCTGGAAGGATGACAATGGTGTCATCCTTTCTAAGCTGGCTCAGGGCTACTTTTTCCTTTGCTGTCAGTGTTTGGTAGCGTTTATGGCTCATGACTAGGTTTGTGACTTGTTGCCTGACTAAGTTCTTAGTCTCCTCTCCCGCTCCCATGCGGAGCAAAGCCGGCTCTAACGCTGCTACAAAGTCAAGTACGCTAGCGTCAGTAAGATTATAGCCTGTGTCTCGCTGTAACAGGGAGAGTTGTGACTGGCTTAGTACTTTAGAAGATAGGTTGTGTACCACTTTCCCCGGTGGGGTACTATTACGAGACTCACGTAGCATGTTCATTCTTTTTAGGAA